TTATTATGCTGTTTCAAATTATAATAGCAATAACTGCATCTAAATTTAAATGCAATTTAATTATTAAAAAAATAACGATAATAATTATAATAATTTTTTAAATTGCTTTATAAAAATTAATTAATTAATTATAGCTTTTGGTAATTAATATCCTAATATTTTTTACAGACATTTAGATATAAAACAAAACTAAAAATTATTAATATTTTTATACAACTTAAAAAATATTTTAATTGATTTGTTTAAAGATAATGCAAAATATTGACAAAATTCTATTTTAATTTTATTTAAAAATAAATAATTTAAATACAATGTTTTCAGTACTGTATATCTATTTTTTTATCAATAATTTTCAGATAATATATAGTCAATCGGATCAATTAGATTGCATCCACTTGTTTGACATCCGACTCCAGGAAATGCCGGAACCAAAGTTCATGAATAGCATCAATAGATATCAAAACAATGTAAATACAAATTATGCAAAAAATTTAAGCAAACATTTAAAAAAGGATTCAAATCATACATCGCTGATCATTGAGCCGCCACACAGTGATTACTCAACTAATAATTATTACTATTTGACTCAATGGAAGATTTTATGCAAAAAACTTGGACACCAATTGAAATATTTGTCAATCGGCGGACTGACCGCATTGGACCAGTTGGCTATTGATGTACTATTGAATTACTGCAATAATTTAGATGAATTGAGAATAAACAACGAAATCGATATTATATCATATCTATCGATAATCAGGCAAACCGTTAAAAGGATACATATTGACTGTGAAACTGGTATTGGTTTGGACTGTATATCGCTTCTGGCGTTTAGAAACTATGCCGAAAAAGTCATGCATTTGGGTATTTTCTTTTGTTTTGTTTAATTTTTATATTATTATATTGTTTTCAACATTTAAGATTAATTGAACAATTATATAATATATTAGACATATGTAAGACATATAGTAAAACATTTCAAATATGAGATATTAAATATGTTAGCCTTTAGTTTATTACTGTAGTCTATAATAAGTCTACATATTTTATGGAAATTTAAATATCAATGATTAATGAATGTTATGGAAACAAATTTAATTTTAATTAATCATTTTATTGTATTTTTTTGTTGTTGAAAATAATGGCATACAATTTATTTGTTATTTAAATATTTATTTTCAATTTGTCAAATATTTAGGTCAAGCTTTAAATGTCACAAAGTATTATATAATATAAATAAAAAATGTTGTATTTAATTGTTTTTCTAAATATATTTAATTTTGATGGACAGGTAGGGTAGATGTAGAGCCAGAACTTATCGATTCGGTTATATCGACGATTGGCAGTAACTTTATTAATCTGAAGTGTCTGTCCATCCGATTGCGTAACTTCGACATAGAAGTGTCCACACCGGCCGACTTTCTTTTTGATCAGTTGGATGAGCTGAGCCTACAATTTGTGACCGGTAATGTTGATCTACCGTTTCAACGTGTGATAAGCCTGGGCTGGACATCAATCAAGTGCCTGACAATTCAGTACGCGTCGCTCACCCGGGAATCGGTCGACGAAATTGTGCGACAATTACCGCAATTAGAAAAACTGGTTTTTCACGCCATCGAGTTTCGGTGCGACCATCTTAGCAAAAGGTGGGTTAAAAGACACAAATCTATTCACATTACTTGTTGTTATTATTAAATAATAATAATTTAATTTATAAAAAATAATTCATATTTATTCACTTTACTTACTAAATTATTGCCACATAATTGTATCAATAAATCAATATGAAATTTTGCTGATATATACAACAATTAGTAATTAGCTTTTAACTCTACTTATTAATTATACTGTAATTAATTTGTTTTTGGTACTAGGATTGTATTTTTGCAAAAATTATGAATCTATAATAATTTAAAACTAATTGACATTATGCAACAAATGTTGCTGATTGTATATTCATATTTTTTTTAAAATATTAATTAAAGTTAAGTTAATGTATCTTTAGTATGACAATCAATAATTATATATGTTTATGTTATTTAGTTTATAGATTTAAAATGATAATAAAATCAATGAATGTGTAATTATAAACTTACTTTCTTTTTTTAAATTAATTTTTTGAATATATATAATATATGATTAAAATTTAATTACAAATAAGTAATTAATTGTAAATTTTTAAGTTTATTATTTGTGTAAATTATTATGTTTATAATATGTTATATACAGTATAAAACATTATAGATTAGTAACATTTCTTTATTGCATATTTTATTTATTATTTATACTAAAATTATGCATTAATAAACAAACAATAATATTAATAGCATTTTAATATATCTTTAAATACACAAATTTGAATAACAATTAATTTGCAAATATTTTATTAACTATTTATATGCTTTTATCACATATAAATAACACTAAAATCAATTTATTAAAAAACAATGAATAAAATATAGATGAACTATAATATAATAGTACAAATACTATGTGTTAAACATATTTATCATATATTATAAATATATATATATATTATGTATATAATATGCAGTATATTCAGTGCTGTCTTAAAAATTTATAATAATGAAGTTTTTATGTAACAAAATATTTTATTCAAAATATTATTTATAATAATATTAAACAATATGTATTGTTATTTTTAAAAATAATATTATACTATTATATTAATATATTATTTATAAAATATTGTATTTACATTATACAGTATTTTTAATAATACTTTATTTTAGCTAAATTTAAATTTCTTATTAAACACATAGTAACTTAACAATATAAAGTATAACATTTAGGTGTATAATATAAGTATTAATTATATTTTTTTATTTATCATATTATACAGTACTAAATATGCTAATAAAAAATACACACAATAATGTCTAGAACCTATAATAACTAATTAATTTTTTATTCGATAATTTATTTAAATTAATAACAATTTTAAATATATATATTTTTAATAATATTTGTGGACAGGTATGGCCACCGATTATGCATAGAGTGTAGTCGTCACTGTTGGAAATCGATGGCTAAACTGTATCGACTGAAACATCTGAAACTTCATCGCATTATTATTGATGACGAGATCTGTAGTGCCATACAAACGATGCACACATTGCGCTCATTAGATCTGCACTACTGTTCAAATGTTAACGAAAACATAGTGGATGTGTGCACACAACTGGCCAAACGTATACCCCGTGAGAGGTTTAACCTGTGTATTGTGTCGCGCGGTTTCCTCGCCTTTGCCAATGATTACCACAAGAATCTGGTTCTTGACATTAAAGTCGCCGTTTAGGACAACGACGACAACAACAACAGCTACTACTAGTAGTAGTACTACTCATGCAATACATATAAAAAATTATATTAATATTAATGATTTAAAATAACTTTTCATGCATTATATTTATATTTTTTCAAATTTTAACAAATGATGTGATCTAAAAAAAAATAAGTTATCTTATTAACTAAATTGTAAACATTTAATAGTTAAATGGCTAATAAGTTTGACTAATTAACTCATTATATTAATTATTCTAATATTAAATTTATTAGACATTTGATTGTTATTAATAATATTAAATTTTTTCGACACTTATAATAATATAAGCATTTTCATCAATCACTCAATTATTTTATCTTATAATTATAAATTGAATTATAAAATCAAGATTTTATTAAAATAATAATATATTTGAAATGCTTATTGGTATTTTAAAATATAGATAGAATAACAGAAAAATTAAAAATTTAAACTCAATTATTGTTTGATAGTTAAATAAATAAAATACTAAAAAATTTAATTTTTATAAATAATTAATTAATGTAAATATTATATAAATACTATTGTAGATTAAAAATTTTCATTAATTTTTAAAATAAAAATCTGTATAAATAATGTTTTTTAATATTACAAATTGAAATTATTTAAAATAATATTTAACTAATGATATTGTTTAATAAATTTTTAAGGAGTTACTTCATATACAGTACTTAACAATAATTTTTATTAGTTTATAGATACCGTTATTAAACTATAGATACATTATTTGCATTATTGTAATATCAAACAAAATTATTTTATTTTTAAAATATTTTTTTGATTGCTAATTATTACAAATGTTAAGTTTAAAAAAAGATCATGATTTAAAGTGTACATCACATTTGTGTATGGTACACTTTTAGGAGACCCTGTACATTTTTTTGTACAGTATTATTGTCTATTACTTTATACTCATATAAATAAGCATAGTTAGAGAGTACCCACAAACAGTAAATCAGTTTAGTAAGTGGACGGTTATTTGTAGTACCCAAACTAGCTGTTATAATACTTAAGATTTGAATGGACAATAAACAATGGGTGTGTATCCTGGAATCGAACCCCGGGAATCGTACCGAATGTGTTTTTTTCAGGCAACACATGCAAACAGCCGATACCTTAACCTGACGGTCAGTGCGCCAGAGAGTAATGTTAACATTGATAATCAATTCTAAATATATAAATTATTTTAAATAATTAACTAATTATAAAAAGTGTGTCAATTATATTAGCATTACCCCGAACATATTCAATTTATTAATAATAATCTAGAATTAATTGTTTTTAATTTACTTAAATAAAACTTATATTATGTTTATCTTTATTGTTATCATCAGAAATACCTTTAATTCATTTATCTAACTCCGTTAAAAAAATTTTTTGTCGATTTTGCAAAATATATCTTAATTAAAAAACAACAATATCAAATTTGAACAATAATCAATGTATATATTTAACTAATTATAACATTTGATTAGATATCATATTAAATAAGCTAATAAAGTACTACATTATATTAATGTACATTTGAATTGAATTAAAAACAAATTTAGACAATTTAAATTTTCATATTTTATCATGGTGTATTTTTAAGCAAATGTTACCATATAATTATTGTATATAAATAGTAAACAAATTTTTCGATATTTTCAAATTAGTTGTAAAATAGTCTATTAATTTTAAACTTTTAGACAACTTAACACAAAATGTTGCGATTTGTTTGCTTATCTCTGTTGGTAGCACTGGTAGCTTCAAAAGGCATTCCCTACAAGGATTGCGGTATAAGATATTAATTTTACTTTAAAATAATTAAAAATAATAATTATTATTTCTAATATTAAGGTCATCATGAGGTAACTGATTTTGAGATTACCGGATGCACCACAAATCCATGTACTTTACATAAGGGACAGGAGATCACTATTACCATTGAGTTCATCGCCAGTAAGTACTGATTCTCACATTTTTTTTATTACATTTGACATATGTATGGTATGTATAGACCAGAACTCTCAAAAAGCTGAGATCGATTTAGTAGCAAAAGTTGGTGATATAGAGGTCCCAGTGCCCGGTGTTGATAAAAATGCCTGTAACCACATGCCGTGTCCGGTCAAAAAGGGAGATACAGTTACACTTAAATACAAAGCCACTATTCCCAAAAACGCACCCACCGTTAGTATCTTAATATAAATAGTTATTATTATTATTTTTTAATTAATAACTAAGCTGTAAATGAATTATTTTTTTACATTTATTAAAGATTGAAGCCGATGTTACTGCCAGACTTAAAGGTGAAAATGGTGATCTGGTTTGCGGAATTGTCCATGGTGATATCAAAGATTAAATGTTTAATTTAATAAAATTAACAATAAATAAAAATATTAATTAAAAATATTAATATTTGCAATTTTAAATAATTGTATATTTATTGAAATGTGTACGAAAATTAGTTTTTTAGTCAATTTATTTGTTTAATAAATCAATGCATTAAAAATGTTATAATAAGTTTAATGTTGATTTTTTAAACATATTGAATAAATTCAATAATAAACAGTATATTTTTCTAATTTCTTATAAATACTGTTAAAATAATTATTGTTATTTTTAAAATTTATAAATTTTTTTAGTGATTAACAGTTGTACTTGATGAATGATCATATTATTAAATATTGATAGTTATTAAATTATACAAATGTGTAAATCAATTAAAATAAAATTAATCATTATTTGCTCGTTTGTAGCAAATATTTTAGGTAATGATAGTAAAGGTAATAATTTTTACAACTTTAGATCTCAAATACAAGAAAAAATATGCGATTATAATACTATCACCGATGAAATGATTACAAATATGATGGACTGCTATCAATTATCGGATGATATTTATGATGAATACAGATTACAGGTTAGATAATAGCTATTAATTTAATTTAAGATAATATATTTGTATATTTAATCACTATAAATCTAGCTAGATCAATTGGAAAAGCAATGTCGTAATAATTCAATCATTGAGATTGAGTCCAAATATAAGTCAATCAAAATAATTGAAGCCAAATATAAGTTAGTTGAGACATGTAGTCACAGTTACAACAAGTGTTATAATATAACAAAAGTTTTTAAACAATTTGGTTCAAAATTCAATATTGCTTTCAAACAACAACAGGTTTTTATTTTATCAAATATTAGTATATTTGTTTCAAATATTTTATCATAAAAATAATAATAATTGTTATTATTGTAATATTGAAAAATTTTATATTATAGGATTGCATTAGAAATACATTGAAAATACCAAAAGAAAGCGATGAAGAAGTTAAAGATAAAGACAATTGAAAATTAAATAAAAAATATATTAATAATAATCTAAATTGTATTATTTTAATTGAAATATTAAATAGATATTATTATATTATAGTGAAAATCTTTAAATAAATTAATCTACTTATAAATACTGATCTTGAAACTAATAAAAATAAACCACAAAAATTAATAATAAACGGTTTTTTAATAGTAGTTATATTTCATTTATATCGTTTTGTTAGATAAGTTAAGCTATAATCTAGTAGTTTGTAGTCGTTGTCAAAAGTTTGTATACAGAAAAATAACAATTTTTTATCTTTAATTTTAAAATATACTGATTTTATAGTAACAATTTAACAAAGATTTAACTGCTAAACAATAGCTATAGATTGTGAAAATAATTATTTTAATAAATTAATTATATATATTTTTAAATATATTATAAATTAAATAAATTAATAACATAAATAACATTTAAAGTTAAATTAATGTAAAATAAATAACATTAATTTATATTTTATTTTTGATATTTTATAATAATTTTATAATGATTGCAATAACAATAAATAGATTCTATAATGATAATTTTAATTAAATATTTTTATTTTTATTCAGCAATCTTCATGAAAAAAAATCAATTAGTTTGTTTAACGTGTTATTAATTAACAATGTTTTATTAACTGATTTAATAAAAATTAATATACTTTTAATTACTTTCATGTTGTTTATACACCAGTCATTTATTAGTATAAGTACAGACACACAGACATATATATTCCAAAAAACAATTTTTCCAAAATTTGTTTGAAAAATGTATTTCTATATTAATATATATTTTATTATTCACTAATACCGACTATTTTTATATTACAGGAATTATAGGAATGTATTGGATATGATTAAGAAAATATTTAAAGTTAAATCACAAAATTCAAAACATTTTGTTATAAATATATTATAAACCTAACTATTATTACAAATTAGTAGAAATTATTACAAATATACCAAAAATGTACAAATAATTGTTTAAATTATTTTTAATAGCTTTATAAACTATTATTTGAACTTCTACAATTTACATTAAATATTTATTTTCCTAACAATTTATAATTGTTGATATATAAATAACTATAGAAAAAATTTGTGATTACATATGTTATTGCTTTATATTTATACAGTATAAACTATAGATTACTACTAAGGTATTAAATATTAATATTTTTAAAAATACAAAATATATTATATAAAGCAGCTGTCTATGTATTAAATACTATGAAATATTTGTCTATTTGTTTATTTCTATATTCTATTTGTTTATTTTAAAAATATAATAAAAAATAGATTAATAAAAATTTCTAAATGATTGACAGTTTTTCAAAAATCATTTTAACATAAATTAAAATATTATTACAGATCTTATTGATACAGTTGTAGCTGTCATTTGTATAAAATAGTAAGTCTGAAAAAATAGTTGTTAATGTTTTTATTTATAAAATTTTCTAATTTATTAATTATATTAAATAATTATAAACTATGAGTAAATTTATTGCAATTAATTTACTAATAATTAGTTTATTTATGGCAATCATTTTGGCCAAAAATAATACTGTCCGTGAAAATTATTGGCAACTTATTGAAGGGTTTGAAAACCAAACGCGAGAAAAGATATGCGATTTCAATACAATCACAGATGAAATGATTACAAAATTGTTGGATTGCAATAAACAATGGGATGAACTGATAAAAGAGCACCGATTGTCGTATAGTCAACAGGTTTTTTCAAACATATACATTGATTATCTACTTATTAATTGTTTGTATTTTTAGTTTAATAATACGAAAAAACAATGTCTTGAAAAATCAACCGATGATTTATCCCAATACAAGGGAATCGCCACAAATGCGGCCAAAAATAAAATTCTGGTCACTTGTAGTTCAAGTTATAAACAGTGCCTTCAAATAACTATAGATTCAGTTTATGATCAGTATTTTGAACAAAGGACTGTTATGTTTAAACAACGTCAGGTAATTATAAATTATATTTATATTATTAACAATTAATTTAGTTAAGCATTAATACAAATAATACAGTAATGCTTAACATTAATCTACATATTTAAAACCATTGTCTAATCTATTTGTTAATTATTTGATTCAAATAAAAACTATAATTCTATATAATATAGACATGTGTTAGAAATGCACTGATGATGGCAGAGGAAAATGTCTGAAAAATAAATTACTTTATTAAGAGATATTATGGATTTGTTTACCTAATCCTCTGTTTGGTATTATTGATAACAATAAATATTATTATAGATATTTTACAAAATTATTATAAAAGTGTGTTTTTTAATTTTTAATTTTGTTTGAATAAATTTATTAAAAATTTTCACTAATTATAATTCACGATTAAATATATTCTATTGTCTAACATTTATTATTGTTAATACAATTATAATTATAATTTGTAATTAATTAATTAATTGACTATAATAATATTATGATCATAATATCATGATAACTGATATAATAATAATATTTATAAATTGATGTGATAATTATATTGTAAACACTTTTAATTGTTTAATTATTTTTTGATATATTAAAATTATTTAAATATATTTTATCGACATATTGACTAAATAATATTATTAATTACAATGTAAATACAGTAATTTATACCAGTATTGATTCAATAGTCATATTCACATTATATTATATTTGTTGAATTAAAATAAAAAATCAATTTTTAAATTCTATATTATTTTATATAACCTAATAATAAATAAAACTTTTTTTTTGAAATTATAAGTAATAATTATATATGTTATTATTAATAATGTATAAATTATTTGAGATAATTTTAACGATAATAATTGTCATATTTGTAGCAAAAAGTTTTGCCAATAATACTAATTATTATTATTATAAACAACTCAAACAACAAATTCTAGAAAAGACCTGCGATTATAATAACATAAACAGTGAAATGTTAACAAATTGGCGAAACTGTGACAAACAATGGATAAACATATTGAAAACTTACGATTACAGGTAAATAACATTCATAACTATTTTTTTCGTTATGTTAGAATAATTTTGATTTTTCATCTAGCTTAATTTATTAAACTTTTTTTTAAAAATAATTTTATAGTTAAATGAAGTGGAAAATCAATGTCTCAATAGTACATTGGATGAGTCGTCCAAATACAGTGGGATTATCACTAATGAAGATAAACGCATTGTAATGCAAATGTGTAGCAAAAATTATAGACAATGTTATCATTTAAATAGTAATTTAATTTGGATTCAATTTAAACAACAATAAGAAACATTTTATAAGACACGTGATGTAAATGTTATATTTAATACTATTATCTAATATATGTTTTTTTTAATTAGACATAAGTTTAGTTTAGATTATTATTTTGAAATATAAATACTATAGCAAAATGAAAAATTTATCTTAAAATATATTCTATACATATAAATGTTGTCCAACTATTTTACTATATTATAGCTATTAATATATTCTTATACTGTATATTATTAATACAGGAATGCATTAAGAGTGCAATGAAGATACACAAAGTCAATGATGAAAGAGTTAGTGATAAAAAAGATTAAAAATTTAAAAAACTAATAACAAATACTTTTGTTATTTAAAATTTTACAAATTATAATATTAATACAACTTTATTATTACTACATGTATAAACTACATAATAAATAAATATTATATAATTTATTTTATTTGAAAAAACTAAATTTTTGCATTAATGTTGATTTACCATGTTAATTTTGTTTGAATATTTATTTTAAATAGATTTTAAATAAATTCAAAAAATTGCGCCTAAAAACATAATTATTTGAAAGTTAAATTTCAAAATAAATAACGTAATATTATTAGCCTTTTAATAATAAAATTAATTTTTAAAAAATTATAATTATTTATTAATAAAAAAACAATATTAAATTAAAATTGAATTGTCATATATATTATAATTATTCAAAAAAAATAAATAACAATTTAATGTCACTAATTTTTGTGCTAAATTTATAAAAATTTTATTTTTAAAAACACATAATATCTGTATAAAAAACATTAAAATAATATTAAGAATATTAACATTCAATATATACAGTACTGTAGAGTAATATTCAATAATTTTAATATTTGTTGTAAAAAATTCAAAAAAATAAATAAAAATCAATCATTAATTTGATTTAACAGTTATTCGTCGCTATTATTATTATACTGTAATTATTAACTAATTATTTAGTAAAACAGTATTTATTTATTTGTTTGTTTGCCGTCAATAGGTTTTACAACAGTTTAATAACAAAAAACATTTGGTGACCACTATTATCGGTAGACAAATGTCGGAACCGGTCGTACAAAAGATAACAACCAATGCGTGCAATGAAAGCATTAATTTATTGCAATTTTTGTGCGAAATCGAGAAACTGAAACATTTAGACCGCAAAGGATTTAAGGACAGGGATGTCAACAAACCAGAGACTGTGGCCGGTATGGCATAGATTATATATCATAGATTAATACGTTAAATATTTATGATCAAGGTGATTGTTATGGCATTGACCTAATTTTTGTTRTTGTTATTAATCACAACCATTGATAGGTCATATGTACCGAATGGCCGTAATGGCAATGCTATACCAAAGCGATAGTCCCGATGAGGTCATAGACCGCAATCGATTGCTACGGATGACAATCATTCACGATATGGCCGAATGTCTTGTGGGAGATATCACTCCTTACGACGGCATACCTGTCGAAGAGAAACATCGACGAGAGTACGAAGCCATGGATTATTTGGGTATATCATCCATGAATCAGTTGATTCATACAACAAAAATATATTTTTTATAATTTGTTTTTTTATTGTATTTGAACTAATAATAGTGTCATTACTTCCGTCAAAGAGTTCCAAAGAGTTTAAGGATCTCTTTGATGAATATGAGAAACAAGAGTCACGCGAAGCGATAATAGTCAAAGAGTTTGATCGTTTCGATGTTATGCTTCAGGGATATCAATACGAAAGAAGCGAATACGAGACAAAAGGACGGATCATCCGATTTCAAGAGTTCTTCGACAACGCAAATGGAAAGATCTTTACCAAACAATTACTCCAAATGATAGACGAATTAAACAAAACAAGAGACGAGTTCTGGTCTAAAGTTAACGCAAATACCAATAATGAAACCAATAATTGTATATAAGATCTGTGAGTCCTATATTAACGGTAATTATTGAACCGGCAATAGGGGTATTGACAATACTTTAAAAAAAACTTTAGTGCAAATTTTTTTTATAAAATTAATCAACAAATTTCAATAATAATATATAACTTATAAATATAATTTTTTTAGTGATTTTACCGGTAATTAAAATATGCTTATTTGAATTAATATATATACAGTATATATATATATATAAATGAATATTTTGTATAAATTAGGATTAATATTATAATTTGATACTAAAAATATTTTGTTAATTTTGTGAAAATTATATGTTTTCTATATATTCTTTTATTATTATAAATTAGATACTCATCTATAAGTTCAGTATTATTCACATTTTAAACAAATTAAAATAATAGATTTTCAAATAGATTTGTTAATACAAATATTAACAAATTTGTATAATACACGATAAAAATATACTATAATTAATAAATAAAAATGCAAAAATTAAATCATCAAATTCAAATTACTTTAGCTTAAAATATCATTTTTAAATTTTTTTATATTATACAATTATTAAATAACTAAAAGCACGCACATTATTAATAATAAATTATTTTTTATTACAAATTTAATAATAATAATAATTACGGTAAATACTAAAAATTACAATATTTGCTGCATATAATTATGAACTAAAATTTTTCAGTTAATTAATTGTATTAATTAATTATACCGATAGCTGTTATTTATCAAATTAACAACCATTTACGGTAAGGTTATTATACAATTGACTGGTTTGTCAAATGTTTGCTTATAGTACAGTATTAGTCTAAAAATAATAAAATATAATTAACTAAATTATATAATAGAAACCAATTCACGACAAAATGTATACATTTATAATCTCAATTAAATTATAACACTAACAAAAAACAACAAAATGTATTGTATTAATGTATTGAATTATTGTAATGTAATAAATAAAAATATTTAACTAATTATTAATTATGACCACTTTTCTTAGTACAATACAAATGATAAAACAAATAATTTGCCACAAATAATGCATTTTTTTAATGCAAGCTTTCATTAAATATGAATATATTTAAAAAAAAGTATAAAATATTATTTTAGTCACAAAGATATGAAAATGTTTTGTGTGAAAAAAGCAATTATAATTTTAAATTATAATTAGCACACATTTTGATTAATTAATATATTGCTTGATTATATTGATTGGTAATATTAGTTTAAAAGTTTGTTAAAATCACGTCTATATAGTAAAAAATTTATCAAACTTTAAAAATTATTTAGAGAAAACAGGTTGTCCTTCAAGTCAACAATTATCTTATGATTAACTGAAATATTTATATTTATATATTAAAAGATAGTTATATTAAAAAAATAAAAGTCTAAATTAATAAAATGGAAAAACAATTAGTTGAATATCACATTAAAATAATAATTAAATAAAAATAATAACAAAATAATAATAATAATAGCAATTATATAAATATAAAAATAATTCAAATAATTGTAAGAATGAAAAAATAAATTCGTATATAAAGATGATTTTGAGTAGGAATTAAATTTGCAAAAACAATGTGTGTTTTCAAACAATTTTAGTCTACAAAGATATGGCCCAAATACTAAACTTAAATCTAACGGTGCGATTAACCGCAGACTTCAGCTGATGACTCGGTAATTACATTATTATTGATAACCGATTCATCAGTAGCTGTCTTAACAACATAATCCATGACCTCTTCATCGGCCTCTTGTTGATTATCGGGGGACGGGTAGTCATCACTGCTACTGAGTTTGGCGTCACTGTCGGGACTAATGCTGGACTCTGTAATTTCCTCATCGGTACCATCCACTCGACCATTGAGTGCCAACTGTTCGTTCGCTGTTTTGCTGTCGTCGTCGATGTTTTCATTCATGTGCTGATGATTTATATGCTGATCGTCGGTCGCGTTATCTGTGTCGCCACCACCGCCGGCCCCGTGAGTCAGGTCAAGATTGGCCTGAAACTCATCCATGAATGTCGAGTTAATGTTACGCAAACGTACCAATAGTTCGGCCTTTTCCTCATCACTCCATTGAGCGAACCATTCATTAAACAGTTTGATTCGGCACTGAAATATCGAGGCCGGTCTGTCCGACATACCTGTTCGTACATTCAAAAATAAACTATCATTTAATTTGCAAAATAAATTAAACTAAGCTATTGTGCAAAATTGTATAGTTATAGTAAAGTTGTGTTAATTATAAAAATATTTTTTTTGCAATAATTAATTGCTATTATAATATAACATATATAATGAGTGAACCGGTAGATCGTGTGGTGTCTGATCTTATCGATTGCACCGTTAGGTCTCATCACTACAAGTTATAGCTGTATTTATCAGCGAATAATAATCATGTAATTGGGTTATCACTGACTATAAATGGGGTGACAGTTAGATAGCATACACACCCCTGATATGACCTAATCTGGTGATCAAATAAAAACAAATTATTACCGAAATGTTGGAAACCATTGATGAGTGCGGTGTCTGTCAATTGGCCCGAATTGCTATACTTATTGACCAAACACTTCATGAAGTCTTGTGTCTGCAGTTCAGACATCTCGGCAAACCATTGGCTCAGATATATGAGCTGTTGGTCAGTGGTCAGCACACCCTTTGATTGCGACATCGCGTCAATGGTCTGATGGGTTAAGTCTTGAGCTCCGATAATAAAACCAATTGACAACAACAACAACAACACTATTTGGATGTCAAGTAATTGACTGTCAAATGCCGGACAAAATGTGTGTTCAAACAGTTATACGCTTATGTATCTCACGCTCAGGTATTACTGCCAGTGACTGCACTGTTAGGCTAACAGATAGTTCAATAACACAACACTTACTTTAATGTACAACAAATCTAGGGATCAGTTTAGTTGCAATAGATATGTCATTCATATAACAATTATTTTACATTAAAATATCCAATAATTTAATAATAAATTATATAATTTACATAAAACATGCAATAAATTACTAATTATAATATCTTAACAGTAAAATAGTTAATTTAATAACAAAATTTAATTAAATGATAATTAAATTATTAGTTAATTAAATAAATTTTATACATAAATTAAATATCCGTATGAAACCCCGTACCCAACCCGCTTTGAATTGTAGTGTTTGGTCTCTAATATCTATTGGGGGCGTGTTTTCCGGTATTGACTTACAAAATATTGTCCAAACATGTGGTGACATCTCTACACAAATATGTACTAAAATAGTGTAAAACGCAAACAACATATACATTGTATGTGTTATTACAGCTGTAATGTCTTATAAATACAATAATTGTATTACAAATAAACATTATTTTTGGGGGAAATGTTATGAATAACAAACATAACGTTATATTTGGTTTAGTATTTGAAACATATGTTTATATTTATCTGTCACTCAAATGATGTGTTTGAATGAATAAGAAGAAGTGGTAAACAATTGGTCACTAAATATAATGATAAGACAATCGTTTGATAGATTTGGTGACGATTTGTCTCAACTGATACTCAGTTATCTGTCAATCGGTGATCGGCTAAGACTTGAATGCGTTAGCCGTCAGTTTCGATGTCTTGTGGCAAACAGTCAGCTATTTCTAGTGATCAGTGAATTTCGTTGTCACCACTTGTCATACAATGGTGACCATCGAGACAATCACAGCAGTGATAATGTGATTGTCATTAGCGGTCGTTATCGTAAACACCACTGTCTAAGACTAATCAATTGTCTGATCAAAAAGTTTAAATTATTGCGAAGAATTCACTTCGAGTTCAATTGTTTGCCAATTGATGAACAAGTCTTGAATGATATCCAAGAGAATTGTCTACATTTGCAACAGATTTCATTCAAAAACTGTATATTTCGTGGTCTAAACAGTGAATCTATGACCAGTTTTGGTGACTTAGCTGGTCATCGGTTGACGCGATTGTCGTTTGAATCGTGCATTTGGTATACAAGTGAAGATCAAGTGTTGTCTTACGAAGAATTAGACCAATTGTTGAGATGTCTGTTAAGGACGACCACTAGTCTGACATGTTTTCAATACAACGCCAATCCGTATCGATTCCAATGGCATAACTATTTGTCGACATTTGTTTCGACGACAAACAGTGATAGTAGTCTTCAATTAAAACATTTATCCGAAATAAATATCTCTTACGGTATCTGTTATGAAACAATTCGTGAATTTTGTGATCTCTATTGTCATCAAATTCATACAATTTATTTAACATTAAATACCAGTGATTTTCAGTTACAAGAAAAATCGGATAATAATCAATTAAATGAAACATTAAAACAATTATCAAGATTTACATTATTGAAGAAGTTATCGCTTTCGATAAAACATAAAAATAGCGAAAAACAATATTTTATTGATTCAGGACTCAAACAGATAAGTGTTTGTTGTCGTAAATTAACTAAATTAGAGATAAATTTGTCCACCGATTGTATTAATAATTTATTACAAACGACAAAAATTTTTGATATATTATCTAATTTTAATTCATTAACTGAATGTAAGATCAAGAGTCTGGAGTTAAATGCATATAAAATGCATACAAATTTGGACTTCAATGTAGACAGTGTTGGCTTCTTTAACAATGTTTCACTAAATAACAATTTAACTCATTTAGCGCTACAGATATCATGTCTGAGTGACCAACACTTGGTCTCAATTCACGAATGCTTTTCCCAATTAAAGTCAATTCATTTGTCATCTGATCGTATATTAAGTGACAAATGTCTAAAACATTTATCTAAATTAACTCATTTGAAACATTTGAAAATATTTTCATTAAATCCACTTTTATATCCCATAACGGACTCAATTGTTAAGAAATTATTGAAAAATTGTCCACAAATTGTATCAATAGTTCTCAGTTGTAATACAAACATTACTACTAAATGTGTTAAACATTTTATTAGATTTTCTAATAAGAGACCAAAAGTTTTTCATAAATTAACGTTTGTTTCTAAACACATACCCTTTACAACACATTTTTTAACACCAAATTATACTGGTAATATTTTTATTCAAAATATCACTAAACAATTTTTCAATAAATTTAATCATTATTAAAATTACAAGAGAAATAAAATATTGAATTATATTCAATAATCTTTATTATTAATGACAGTAATATATTACAAATGATTTTTAAAATCTTTGCTAAATTGAAGTTTTTTAAATATAAACTAAAGATAATATGATATATTGGGGTTTTAATTAAAGATATGAATATTTACTAAAAGTACCGTAATTTTAAATAACATAAAAATAGTGAACAACAGTAAAGTATATATATATATAAATAAATGATTAAATTATTAAAATTAAAAAGTTGCATAATATGATAAAAACTAGGAAATATACAAATAAACTTTCATATCGGTAATAGCATTTTTTGTACATAACATTTTGATTATATTATGATATAGCTTAAGACCTGATTGTTTTAGTTGTCGTAGTTGTATACGATGACATCATCAGATCGTGACTATAAATATCATATTATTAGTTACTATATATCCTGAAAAAAGATATAAAAACAATTCAATTTACTTCTACAGGTACTATAATTCTCAAATTATTATACAATTAATAATAGTTAGTTACCTCTGATGACTGTGCGATATCATCAGCGTCTTGTAGCAAAGCATCCAACTCTCTAAGTGTTCGATTAAATTCCATATCAATTGATTCGGTCTTCGATTTGGACCGAAAATGGGTTAAATTATGTCGATTGAGATTGTCTTTCGATATGAACGTACGTTCGCATCCATTCCATTCACATTTGTAGGGCCGGTCACCAGTGTCTACACAAAATAGATATACATTATAACAAATCAGATCAGATGACAGATAAGATAACAATAAATGATTAATACGTACGACGTCTGGTATGTATCGTTAGTTTATCCTTTCTATTGGTCTTAAAAGTACAATCACTGAAATTGCAGACAAAGGGACGATCACCTGAATGAAGCTTTTCTGTGTGCTCATTGAGCTCATCCTCTGTGGTGCACTTGAAATGGCATTTACCGAACGTACAGTTAACTACTTTCGAGTTGTTGTCCACCGATTCATCATTTATTTGTGTGGCTTTTCTTCGCGTAATTTTTCGCTTCTGATATTTACAGAAAATTGTTAGCAAATAATTTAAACTTATTTTTAATGTGAAAACCTTAGGCTCATTGATGGTATTGGACTGCTCTTCATTGATAACCTGGTTGTCGTCTGTTATAGTTTCTTCATTAAGTTGATCTCCATCTTCTTCTTCAACAGATCTTAGCGACCGTTTTCTATCATTACTATTATCAACTATTTCACAACTTTCCAACCTTTCCTGTAATGACTTCTCTGGACAGTCGTGCGACTCTAAAGTCTGATCGTCTGGAAACTCTTGACCACAGAAATCGCAATCCAATTGTTTTTCGTCATCTTTAATGGACATTTGCTGTCCAACACCACCAAAATGTGACTTCCGATGTCTGGCCAAGTGATGGCTTTGAATAAAATCCAAATGACAACCAATGAAATCACATTTGAAGGGTCTTTCGCCAGAATGATAGCGCAGATGTGCGGTCAACTTGTCGAGTGTTTTGGCCGAATACGAGCACTTCTCGTAACCGCATTTAAACAGTCGTTCGCCACAATGGGATCGACTATGCCTTTGAAGCTCTTCTTGTGTTTGAAAATGCATTTCTTTCCAATGAAAACAACATTTTAAAAATCAAATCACAAATTTATGGAAATGACTACTCACTGCAGAGACCGAAATTGCATTTAAAGCCAAATGGTGTGAATGTAGTAAAGTCTGTATCGCCTAAACCCATGTGTTGGCGAAGATGTTTATCCAATTCGTCGGCATTCGTAAACTCGATGTCACAACCGGTAAACTCACAGATAAACTGTTCTCTATTAGTATGAAGTTTTCTGTGTCTACGAAGTTGTTCACTAATTGTAAAACTTTTGTCACAAGTCGGCCAAAGACAACGAAACTGTTTAATGTTAGAGTGTCTCGAGTGATGTATTTGTAGTTTGTCTTTGGATTTGGCAGCAAAAGTACAGTCAGGATACTGGCATTTGAATGGTCGGTCCCCGGAATGTATTTGTTTGTGTCCATTCAATTCCTCTTGAGTTGTGTAATGCATGTCTGTAAATGGATGTTGTTTAACATTATGGATAAAAAATTGTATGAAATATTTGTGTAAATCCCAAAAAACTTACTACACTTTCCAAAGTCACAGACAAATGGTTTGGGAGTCGGCGGTGGTTTCAGTTTCTTCTCACGATTTGCGGCACTTTTTGAAGGAACCGACACAGACATCAAGTGTTTAGTTTTGTGTTCAGTTAATAGCTTTAAGGCCTCAAATGCGTCGCTACAGTCCGGCCAATCGCATCTATAGGGAGTGGGACCCGTATGAATAGTTGACCGGTGTTCAGCCATTTCCGATAAGGTGGCAAAACTTTTGCTGCAGCCATCAAACGAGCATTTGTGTGGAAACTCGTGTTTCAATACGTGTCGCCTAATGATGCCCTCATTGACATTTCCATAGTCGCAGTAATCCCACAAACATTTATACCAGAATTTGCCGTCATTTGAACGACACTTCACATAATTATCGTTTCCTTCGACAATATCGTCGGTTAACGAACCGATCGGACATCTGATGACCGAAGAAGTTCGTACATTACTTCTGTATCTGTCATAAATGGCTGACGGCTGTCCATTACTAGAGCCACCGTAAACTAAGATCTCTCCCCTTTCTAGTGTTGTCTCCTTTTTCAATCATAAATATAAATCATAGAAACAATAATATTAATTATAAATTATTATACAATAATATTACAAATAATTTAATTAATACCAAATTTTCGTTATTTAAACCCAACAGTTGTTTAGCAATAGTTTCGTTTTGTGACTTCCTTTGTCCACCAATTTTATAGTCTTTATTAGCTTTGATAAGTTGTGTGGTGTGCGACACGTGTTGCACGCGATGGTCGGTCAACGATTTGATATCTTTGAACCGTTCCTCGCAATCGGCAAACGTACACTTGAATGCATTTGTGTCCATATGAGTGACCGAAAAGTGTTGCAACAGTTCCTCAGTGTCGACAAAACGGTCACCGCAGCCGATGAACGAACATTGATATGGCTTCTGGTGTTTGATGGCGTGCTTCCGCATCGAGCACTCGGATGTCGTCCGAAACGAGCATAACATCCATTTGCAGACATAATCGACGCGTCCGTCGCCGATTTGACTCTTTTCAATTGTCCAATAACTGGTTAAATCGTCCATTTCGGGCAAAGTGGTCGCCTCACCAATGATTGGTTCGCCAATAACTTGAACTCCTTCCGTAAGAATGCCCGCTTCGATGGCCTGTTGAATAATTTCGTGACTTCCAGTTTCATAGTTGTGGTCACCGTCGGTGTATATCTGGATAATTGTTGTATATTGTTGTGGTTCTTCTTGTTGTTGCACTTCTTCGACCACTTCTTCGAGCACTTCCTGTTGTTGTAATTGTGTTTGTAGTGTTGCAATAGTATTGCAATCTTGTTGTTGTTGTTCATCTTCTTGCACTTCTTCATCCAACAGTTGTTCGTCTATTTGCGGTTCGTATTGCTGTTCCGGTGCCTCTTCAGTGACCACTTCTTGAACGACAAATTCGGTGACTTTTTTGCCTCTCGTCACTCGCGGTGTACTCTGTCTGGTCGCTCGGCCAGTGCTGACTACGGGTGTAGCCGCTGTCGACTGTTGATTAGATTGTACGGCTGTCCGTGTTTTCCGTCTAGTAGTGGCCACACCTGATGTCCGCCGAGTATTTCGGGTATTCATTGGTCGTCAATAATATTGTTTTCAATTCATACATAAATCAAATGATAAGTAATTTTATCAAATGTTTTGTGATTTTATGATTGTTTTGGAAAAATACTAAATTATTTGTTATTAATATCCAATGTATGGCTTATATGGACTTCAAATGGTTTCTATCAAATGTTGGGCAATAATGACAAACATTTGATACTTTTTATTGCTATATTTTTTACTATAACTTACAGTATTTATAATTTAAAAAAATATATATATACTTATGTGAATAATAGTACCAAATGTTTGTCCTATTTACTTATGTCAATTTCTATTATTTTTGGCACATTATTTGAAATAATTTATATTTTAATTTTATCATGCTTATTTTTACAAATTTCCATAGCATGTCAATTTTTTATATGATTTAATTTGATACAAAATTTTATAATCATAATTTTTATATTTGCATATCATATATTTATAAATAATATTAGGTTTTTTTTAAAAAAAATAAAATTAATAATTTATGCCATATTACACAACACCATCGGTACAATTATTTAAACATTTAGTAAAATTTTGTTTTAAACCAAATTTGCAATCAATTTGTTCATTACGACAGCACATATAGATTATCCAAAACAGTAAACTTATTGTACAAACCAATAGAAATATTATGGCAAAGTCTACTAAAAAATGCATTTTTGTAGATAGTTTTAAATAATTTTATTCAAATAAAAAAAACAATTTAATTGATGACTATTAAATGAAAAAATATTTTTTACATTTAAACTTATGAGACACTCAATAAATAAATATATGATTTTAACTTTTAAAAAATAATAAATTTCCCATAATATCAATAATAGTAGATATTTATAACTACAGTGTAGTGTTCATCAATAATATTGAATTTTCACGAAATATACAGTAAATATATAAGTAAGTGTTCAAAACACCTGAAAATTATATTATGTTATATAAATATATATATATAATATCATATGCTACTGTATTATACAATAATTGTATGATATATTAACTATTGTAGTATATTATGAGAGATGATTTTTTGACTGTTTTTAGTTAATACAGTAAATTATATATATATATATTGTTTAGTAAAATTACATTTTTTTCACAGTTGAGTGAATATTTTCAAACCCATGCCATATGTGGGCCAAAACACCAATAATTAGCTAAATTAATAGTTTATATTATATTTAACCGAAACAAATATTTTTTTCAAGTTTACACTTGAATAAATGGTTAGATATTTTTTTTAAAAATATTATATATATATATAATTCCTTAAATATTATATAATTTTTTAATTTACAAAAAATATTGATTATTCATGTAATGTTCTAATAATAATAATTTTTATATTTAATGAATTATTACTTATATTAACAATAATGGTATGTAATTGACATTATAAGTAAGTTTAGTATTTTGTCGACTCTGTTGCAATTGAATTAAATCTGTTTGAATTGCATTAACTTTTGACTGAAAAGTGTATATTTTTGACTGAAATGGTTGAAAGTCTTGATCCGTACGCCTGGAAAGGGACCAAATATTTTGTAGTTCAGTCTGTAGAGCAAAATACGAGTACCAGAGCTGATTCAATTCATACTCTATACGGTCGTCATTGCGATCCCTATCCGTGCGACCATCCATTGACACCAATTGGGATTTTATATTATATAACTGTGACAATAGGTTATAAAGTTGGGACTGTAGGTTCAGATACTGGAATTCGCTTTTACTATTTGCTAAACAAAAATATTTATCAATTATTTGTTATATATATATTGATTATATTATACTTTATGTTTTATAATAATTATTTGTTATTTTTTAAAATTATATTATAATTTTTTAATCTAAGGTTAGTTTGTTTTAATTGTGAGCTAAATTATAATTTGATTTACACTATAAACTATTTACAAAATTCTGCATAAAATACAGTATATGCTTATAATATATTTTTGCTATTAATACTAACCTGACTTTGACCCCAGTTTACTGTCACTATTTTTAATATAAGTCTTTTCACGGGCATAATAAGCACCGGTAGACAAAAGGATAATAATAATAACAACAATTGAATAATTCATTTTGCATAAAACACTTAAAACAGCCCAAAAAAACAACCAAAAAAACAAGTGTTTATACATAAAAAAAAGGTTATATAATTTGCCCAAAAATATCAGGTTATTCAAGTGCTCTGATAGTGTCACTGACTGTACTGTATTGTACTGATAGTATGTGTGACCAGAGGTGACAGAAAATTATTTATAGGAAGAATTTGAACTTTCTTTATATTATAAATTTATATAAATATATTTGACATACCTGTGCCACAACTATTAAACGACATTTGAAAATATTATCTATCATTTTAATAAAACAAAATTATTTTATTTTTTCAAAGAGTTATCAAAATTTAGATTTATGTAAAACTAAAAAATATTTATAAACTTTTTTTATTTAATAAATTATAGACTATTTGAATAGTTTACTATTTAATAGTTAACTATTTTAGTATGAATTTATAATATTTAATAACGTGTAAGAAGTATATTAAAATTTAAAAATATTATCAAGGTACACAATTTTTTGTCAATGCTAAAATTGATTTTATTTTGCAAATTTGTTTTTTACTACAAAATTTTGACAAATATTTATTACATGATATGATATTTAAAAAACTAATTTAGTTTTTTATATAAAAATAATGCTTATATTCAATTGATAAATAAATACTTAAATAAATAAAAAAAAGATTTAAATAAAAATCATTGGTTTTGTAAACTTGTTTTGTATGTCATGTTTTGTGAGGTCCGGTGGATCTGATTTGTTTTGTCTAATCCCAGTCGCTGTCGGCACCGTAGAGGACGGCGTCTACTTGTCTAACGTTTCCAGAATCGGGTAATTGTTTGATATCTCGTTGTTGTTGTTGGACCTGTTGTTGGACAACCTGTTGCTGAACGACCTGTTGTTCTTCACGTTGTTGGACCTGTGGTTTCTTTGCGGCCCACTTTTGCTGTTCAACTCGTTGCTGAACACCTTTGCGCTCCTGTTCCTGTTGGATACCTTTGCGCTCATATTGTTGCTCCTGTTGTTGGACCTGCTGTTCCTCTCGCTGCTGTTGGATACCCTTAGCGGCATATTTCTGTTGCTGGACCTGCTGTTCATCGCGTTGTTGGACAATGCCCTTCAAACCACCGGCTGAACCGCCTTTCTGGCCCTTAAGACCGCCTAAGAGTAAAATAAATTTTGTTAAAATATTATATAAAACTTATAATAACTATATTGATAAAATACCTTTAAGTCCATATGCAATTCCGCCTCCTTTTCGGGCCTCCTGACCACCTTTGGTTCCGCACTCGACCAGAGCGACGAAGACAACACAGAGAGCAACAATAGCCAACTTATTCATTGTAGACGAGAAAATCACAACTGATATACAGCTTCTGCTAAATAAAGATAAGTTTTTATTTAAGCTTCAGATGCTTTGAGTGAAGAATCTTATCGAATTGGATCCCTTTATATACCATTTCGGGAAACCCTTTCATACATAACAAGAACAACAACAACAACAAAACACATCAAATAAAACAAGAATTTTATGAACAACAACAAGAATATCTTGTTTTATAATTAATGTTTTCAAAGTTAATGATTGGTTAGGTCTCTCTCTCTCTCTTCTCTCTCTCTCTCTCTCTCTCTCTCTCTCTCTTTCTCTCTCTCTCCCCCTGATATTATTTGAGTCACAAAGTGTTAAAAACTATTCCCCTTTAATAGCTGTCATTATGTATTCTTCATGATATACTGTACATTCATAAGAAGTTAATCCCATTGAAAAAGATGGATAATATATCCCTGTTTTTTAGAGAAGTCAAACAACGGAACGGGTTTATCATTGACTTATGCTAATCATCTCATGAGGTCTCTGTCTTTATACTCTCTCATACTCTTTCGCACACAGCTATAGCTCAAACACCCTTTAACTACAGGTTCACTAACCAAAGTATACGGTATACCCATTCATTAATGAATAGATAATAAATAAAAACGTGTACTTATTTTAAGATTGTGATTATTATGCTAATATCGATAACTACATCAATAATAATTGTATTAATTAAATTTATAATAATTGTAAAATTTTATTTATAAAATATATTTTTTATATACAATAATTGTGTGAAAAAAGTGCTAGACTTAAGTCATATGTCTAAATAGTTTTTAATACTATTGAATATATACTGTATATAAAAAAAAGTTGTGAGACATTAATCAGACCCAATGACTGGTAAACAGGTATCAATATTACGCAATCATTGCAGAGTACAGTCAACTTTTTTAATAGATTAGCTTTTTTCATGCCTTAAAGCACTGTTAGATGTAAACAGTCGGTACACTCACTGTTCATTCAAAAATACACAACAATAGACTGGGCTCTCAATAACCTCTAACCATAGACTACTTGTCACTGTCTATGACATCGTGTAATGTATTGTAGTTTTCATAATGAAACAAAAAATCTAAGCTTTTTCTAAATGAAAACTCTTTTTGCTCTTTATTTTTGTTTTTTATATATTATTTAATGATTATAAACCGTATAATAAAATATGTTTGCTATAAAAATATAGTTTTAAAAATAAAAATTTAGAAATAGTATTAAATAGTAAAAAAATTTCAAATCTTTCTCTGTTTGAACACTTAAAGTTCATTATACTATTGAAACTAATTTCGAAATTTTATTTTTATTTTAGAAAATAATTTTAATTTCTTTTGTAAATTGAAAAATACTGCACTAATACATCATTTTTAGTCATAAAATAAATAGAAATTTTTGTTGTTATTTAGTATTAGAAATTTTTAAACTTGTTATCAATAATTTTTATTTTAAATGAATCATTATTTTGATTATTTATTTGTATTTACAAAGCAATCCTTTAGTTTACAATTTTAAAAATTAAACTATAAATTAAAATATATTTGAATATTTTTATTTATGAGTTGAATCAAAATTTATAATAATGATCAATGCGTGATGTAGTTTATAATATAAAATCAAATTTAATCGATTCATTAAATTATTAATTAAAGTTTTCAAGTTCATTGTCATTATTAAAAAATATTAAAAACTTTTGATATAACAATTTAATATAATATTT